CCCTCCCTTGGCAGACCTGCATGGGCAAAGACGTAACCCTTCACGTCTCTGCAAGCAACCCTGCTATGCTGCTCTACCAAAAATTTGGATTTAAGACTGAAGAATACATTTTGGATTTTTATGACAAATACTATCCCTTGGACAGCAAGGAGTGCAAGCACGCATTCTTTCTCAGGCTGCGGCGCTGATCCGTCCGAGCTGTCTGGGGGTCTGTGAAAAGCCCAATCAGTCAAGCAAAGAACTACCACAGCTTTCAGCGGAGGACGTTGGCTGCCACATGAGAGCTGGAACACACCAACGCCTTTATTCCTAGGACTTTGAATATCAACAGTGCTATGTTGTGTGCTGAAAGTGCAATCCAAGAGGACTGATTCCTACCCTCCAAGGGGAGAGGCCTGGAAATGCCAAGTGGGACATGCTGAAACCACTGGAAGACTGAAATTCTTTATGGGGAGTTTTCCTGCCACTGTTACTTTGGAGAGCCTCATTGAGAAACAAACAAACAAACCCCCCCCCCCCCCCAATACTTGTCACTTCAGAGGGGGCCCATGGATTTCAGACTTCAAAACCTATCCAGGAAAAGTCGCGGGTTTTTTGTTTCTCTTTTTGTTTATGGGAAATGAATGTCTAAACTTAAATCATCCACAGTGTTTCTGTGATTTGATTGCTTTGTTAGGAACCATGTCTTGAATCTATGAAGAGAAATAAGATATTGGTGCATCTAGCTGGATGCTAACTTCAGGAAAGCTCTACACATGCCAGAACAGCAATACTGGAGCCATGTTTTAGGAATAATGAAGAGCGTGTGAACTCATGTGATCCCGAATGGAAGGCTCAGAGGAGATGTCTTTTCTTCTGCTCCTTCCCTACTGCCTTCCTTTCCCCTCGTTGACCCTGTGCTTAGTGTGAAGTTCTTGTAGTGCGCAGTGTTTTGTGTTCAGGAACAAGATGTCAAGCGGGTTTGTAGCTAGGCGAGGTAGGACACAACAGCTGCCAAATCAGCTCTTTGAAATCTTACAACCTATCTGCCAGTTGTTGATGCTGCAGATCAGCCCTTTGGGCACACCTCTAACCACAGAGCCAGCCTCGCAGGCTCCGGCATCCACCCCCTCCTGCTACAGACACTCTGGCTAAAAGAAACCCAGAACAAAAAGTCAGTGGTGATGTTTGAAATGCTCTGCTTTATAGAAGCAATCTGTTTGGAGCTCGGAGGGAGGAGAGCGTAGATGTGGGCCAGTTCCAGTTCTTGAAAGCATCTAGGCTGTGATTTCATGGCTCTATGTGTAAGTAAAGAGGAGAGCAAAGAATAAATAGAAATAATCAAGAATTAAAAAAATACAAACCCCAGACAGTTTCTGTGGTAGTGGGGTCTAGTCCTTTTACACAGTTTAGCAGCTTTGCTCTCTCCCTGACTTTTATTGCAGATGAACAGTAAGTTGGCAGTTTGCTCTGCTGCCTGACCAAAGGTCAGTCCATGCATTTTAAATACGAACCACATCCACTGTGCTGTTCCTTTCACATCAAGCCCCACAGAGAGCTACACAACAAATGTGACTTCTTTGTTCTTAATCCACCATGTATACCTGTTGGGTACCTGGCTATAGTAGTAGTTGCCTTAATGGAGTCTTCATTTTGGTAACAGCAGAGCGATGGACACAAAGTATGTTTTTGCGTAGCCAATGTATATTGTCACCGAAACAAAAATGGTGTTAGTGGGAGGGAAAAAGAACCCATCCAAGTGTTGTGTGCCCTAACATCCATGCACATTTCCGCCTGCTTTATGACTATGTGAAAATTTTCGATGTTACTGATGTTATGAGTTAGCTGTACTTGGAAGGAAAAAGTATCTGTCTTTATGAATGGAATTAAATCCCTTCCCTTGGAAAAGCCTACCTGTAGTCATACTGTTTGTTAAGCTGCCTCTCCATCATCTTATTTCATTGAAATCTAGCAAACTCAAGGCTGATAGAGGGTGCAAAGCGTGTGTGTGGGCAGTGGAGCAAGGCAAGAAACTCCTTTATTTTTCTACTGGGCATCCACACAGAAGCTGCACACATGCAGGCCCCAGCAGGCTTTGTCCTTGAAGGTGACTGTGAAGATTTTGAGGAGCTGCTTGTTCTGTGCTTACGCCTCCGTGGCTTTGCCCCTCAGAGGGAGGATGCCAAGTGAAGAAGGTGTTAGAACTGCCCTGGGATTTCTGCTGTGCTACAGACCGCTTGTTTTATCCAGGTGGTTCATTTACCCCCAGATCCTTGAAGGCAATGAAGTGCCTTTGAGCCTTTGCACCTCAGCCATTTTGGATCTGTCTCTCACCTGCAAAAAGTACAAATACCAACATTTGCCTCCTTCAGGGAGACTGGTAAGAATGAGTTCGTTAAAGGTTACAGGGGGTGGGGGATGGAGATCAATATTGCTGTTCTGCAGGCTGCAGAAACACAAAATCACTTTGCAACTTCACAGGTCCACCAGCGTTTAAGTGGGCATGGTTTGTTTCTTGCTAATTTGCCCATATTTATTGGAAAATCAGGTAGTTAACTGCTAGACCTGTTATATACCACACTCCCAGGACTATAGGCTTAAGTTTTGATCCCTTGGTATTATCTTACGTGGAGGACACTCCACACCCTGTTCCTTAGTGTTGCCTGTGAAAATCTGGCATTGGCTTTGAACTGCTTTCCATGAGAACTTTCCCTGTTGATCCTAACGGCTTTGGTGAGAACAGGGTGCAAGCGTGGCTGGCTCAGGGATCGCTTTGTTGGTGGTCTGGGCAAAGATGAATAGCCGTAACTCTGTGACTTGCAAAGGGATCCCAGCAAACCAGATCTGAAGCACACTGGTGAAGCCTGCAGTACCTGTGCATTATTTCCTCTTGGCAACTCAAGCTGTCTGTAAGAGACAGTTTCTTTTACTCTGCTGGCTATATGGGTGAGCACTGAGCATGGGGCACTGTTTGGTGAGCAGAAATTCACCCCCCACTTTCAGCAAGAGTCTTCTGAGGACAGGAGGTTGAGGCCAGCCTTGTAACAGGCACTGTGTGAAGTCAGGTGTGCAATCTGATAGGGGCTGGCAGCCCTGGGGAAACATGCCAGGGTTGCCACGGCGCTCTGCCTGCCCTCACTAGGTCACCACCAGAATTAGGCAGCCTTTGGAGTGGCTATAAAATAGCTGCTGCAGCTCCATCTCTCTTTTTGTGGCCGCACAGGGACCACTACCAGCCTCCTCTCAGGAGAACGTTTCCTCCCCAAAATGTTGAATAATGAGAAGCCCGAATGGCTCGTAGCAGCTTAAGGCCACTGCTTGAATTGTCACACACAGCTGGCTTTCTCTGCAACGGATGAGGCTCTTCCGAGGCACGCGATGAAACAAACCGTGCTCTTAGCCCTCAGTTTCTCTGCTCTTTGTGCCTCGGAGACCAGCGTGATGAGTTACGTTAGCTGTGATTAAAAAGCCAGCATCTACCCCGCTTAATGACACAATTACTCCACGCTTCCCTGAGCTGTGCAGTGACTGTAGCAGTAATTGCGGTTGCCAAACGCACCTCGGTTTAACAGAACAAAGTTTTCCTGGAGAATAAAGGTGGAACCTCACCCTTTCTTAATAGGGCAGCAAAGCCCAAACCTTTCCACATGCTTGATACCTCACAACCAGGAAGCTGCCCACTGTGGTCAGCTTATCATGCCTGTTGATCTACAGTAGCTGAGCTGGGTAAACACTGGGATCATTCTGCATAGTAGTCCGTAATGTCGTAGAAGTAATACTTTGCAGTTTACTTTGCAAGACAAGTCTCTTTCCTGAGAGTCCTGATGTTGCACACGTATGTGCCAAATGCTTCTTTTCACATTTCAGATCCAGCCTGGGGGAAGAAGCAGAAGTCTGCTTGGTCCATTCACTGCCACCTACAGTGTGAGGATGTGCTTCTTTGCAGACCCACCTGCTTGTGATGATAAGCTCTTAGCAAGTGGTCGAGCTAAGCCGCCTTTATCCCTCTGTCTCTGACTACTTTGCTTACATCAGCTTGCTCCAGGAGGTAACCTGGTGCACGGGGTTGCTTCCCTCTAACCCTTGTGTTTTTTCTGGAGGAGACTCTCTCTCAGCAAACACTGCCTGCCGCATCAGACAGTGCAGGAAACCGAGCCCCTGCCGCTGTGATGGATGCGTAGCCAGTTCTTCTCCGCAAAACCAGCTGCCTCCTGCCCCTGCGGCAGCAAGCCAGACTGCCAGGTCCCGCTTCCTTCTCCAGGCAGCGTTAGTCAGGCAGAGACGGTGAGTTCAGCTGCTCCTGCTGCCTGCGGGAAGGGAAGGGAAGGGCAGCCGCCTGTGGCAAGAACAGGCGGCCACTGCCACAGAGCAGTGGGAGCGTATCTGCGCGGGTCCTGCCTCGACAGGACCCTTCCCACTGTGCTTCTCTACCAGCTCTTGTCAACAACGGAAACCCGCGGCACCTTCTTATGGGTGTAATTAAAAAAAAAAAAAAAGGTCGTGCTGGCAAACTTGTCCTCCTTCCCCTTGGGTTTGCGCTGGAGGCTTTCCTGCTGGCTCAGGCCCTGTGTCAGACTCCTTGGGAATGACAAGGGTGCTTCTCGCCTGGCCATGCCAGCTCTGCTGTGGTGGTGTGTGGCGGCGGGGCTCGGCCCCCCTTCTTCACAGGGGATGCCGAGATGCGGGGTTGGCACATCAGACCCGGGTCTGGTGGAGGCCCTTAAGGCCCAGAGGGAGATTTGGGTTGGCGCCGTGGTTCTCACACAAAACCTGCGGCTCACGGCTGCTGGGTTGGGGATGGCTGACGCTGTGCCGGCCCCATGGACACGGGGGGGGTCCTGCCCTCCTCCCAGCCACGGTACCGACCGCCGGGGCCTTCCCGAAGCACCGGCTTCCCCGGGAGGGGCAGAGCCGGTCCCGGTGTACCGGCAGCGGGACTACAACTCCCGTCAGCCCTCGCGGCCGCCCACGCTCCCGCCCTGCCTTTCGCGCCTCAACCGCCTCCGTTTGAACCTGGAGCCATGGCGGCTAACGCGGAGGGGGAGGCGGCGGCGTTGCCCGAGGAATGGCGGCTTTACCTCGTCCCCACCCGCGCCGCTACCTTCCGTAACTGGCCCTTCACCGAAGGTTGCGCCTGTACCCCCGAGAGGGTGAGCCCGGCGGGGTTAGCGGGACCCGGGTGGAGCGGGGCCGGGGTCGGGGCCGGGCGCTGACTGACCGACCCTCTCTCTCTGCCCGCAGATGGCGGCGGCGGGTTTCGTGCACTGCCCCAGCGAGAACGGCCCCGACGTGGCGCAGTGTTTCTTCTGCTTCAAGGAGCTGGAGGGTTGGGAGCCCGACGACGACCCCCTGTGAGTAGCAGCGGGGGGGGATTTGCCCCCGGCTCCCTGCCCCGGCAGCTCCGCGCCGGCCGCGTCTTGCGTGCGTGTGTCGTGTTGTGAGCTGCTTTTCTTTCTTTTTTTAAATTTCGCTCCTTTTCAGGGAGGAACACCAAAAACACTCTGCGGGCTGTGCGTTTCTTTCCCTTCAGAAAGATCCTACTCGCCTGACGCTACAGGAGTTCCTAAAGCTGGACAAAGAACGAATGAAAAATGCAATTGTACGTACGCGTCGGCATCGTGATGTTTTTCTACCCCCCCCGTGACCGTGGAAGAGTTATTTAGTTTCGAGTCTTGGGACTGTTTAGCTGGCCCCTTGGTTCTTTACCGCAGTGCTGCCAAAGTGGTTTGTTGCATCCTGACTCGTACTGGATCAGATGGCATGTCCCGTCCTGGTTCTCAGCCTTTGCCTTTTGGGAGACGTAGCCCACTTTCCCCTTGAAGCTGAATGATGCTTAACTTAGTGGTAGACAGTAATGTATTGTTTTTATTCTTTACAGAAAAAAGAAATTTCTCAGAAGGTGACCGAGGTTGAAGATGCAGCCAAGAGCGTGCGTCGTGAAATAGAGAATCTGGTCTCCTAGGCTACTGTAGCTTCTCCCTTGCCGGTGACATCTGTCTTGTATGTGTGCTTTGGCACTGCCACTTTGACTGAATGGCTGGCTGTGTTTCCCGAGACTTCTTTCAGAATGCCCGTCTCCGTGAGAAGCAGACCGAATTCTCCTTCACTCACCTGAGTCTGTCTGGGAAGTAGCTGGGGTTTGATGCACTGCGTACGTAATCTTTTTCTGCAGGGATTCTGCTGTTCTTCCTGTTGGTTTAATTAAGGATTACTACTTGTGGTTTTATTTGGTCTGTTTTTTTTTTTAAGCCCAGCTGTTTCCATTATGGAGATGCTGGTAGCTCTGGTGCTAAAACTTGTGTTTCTTGCAAGAGCTGGCAGGCACTTCCATTTTTATACTGAATATACCAGTGCTTTTGGATACTTTTGGAAACAAAAAGGAGAAGGAGTTTTAAATCTCCTTCAGGGATTTAGGATTGTGGCTAATAATGTCCAATTACACCAAATCTTAGTGTGCCTGGTATCTTTGTAAACTTCTATTTTTAGTTGGCTGCTGCCTCAAGTTGATGCGTTTATAAATAAAAGTTGAAGGCAAAAAAGCAAAGTGATTTTACTCAGTTTTCTGGAGGAAAAGAATCTGACCTTTAATGCAATGAGATGCACTGAATGCAGTTTTAACTTCAAAGTGGAAAATAAGCTAATCAAAGTACAGCTTGCAGTGCTATTGCTCGAGTGTCAAACTGTCTTAAGCGGTATTTGTCAGGTCTCCTTAAAATGTCCTTGTGCCTTGGAAGGTTTGGTTGGTCCCTCTCCTTACAGGTTTGGAAAGGAAAAGAAATCTTGCAGGACAGAGCGCGGTCAGTGAAGAATTGTGCTCTGAACTACGGAGAAGGAACGGGGGAATCTCCTAGAAAATATTTGGCTGTTATGGGGCCTGAGTTGATTGTACAGGGTTGTGAAGTCTGCAGACAGAACTGGACGCGTGCACTTAGGTGCTCCCAAACTCAAAGAACCTCCAGCTCCATCTTGGGTAAAAGGCAGTTGCAATCACACACTGATGAGACCAATGTTCCTGGGTTTCGTAAGTTTGTCCAGTGTTCCCTGTCCAAGCTCACTTGCAAACAATGAAATAACTTCATTATTTCCAGCTGTAACAGCCAAATCATATGCCGATTGCCCTTTTGCATTCTTCTTTTTTATGCTTGCATTGCAGCTGTAAATAAAGAACAGATTGTTTTAAGCTACTTAAATTCATTCCAAGTTACTGGAATAAGTGAAGTGGCTTGTAGGTAAATGTTGATGCAGAGTAACTTCAGGATTTCTGGATGCCTCTTTCTGCAGGGACACAACTATGAGAAAAGAGCGCTGACCCTTGGGCAGGCTCTGGCCCTTCACTATTGCCAACTAGATCTGTGCAAGCAGACCGTGGGTATCCTGCAGCTGAGCTAGAGGCCCGGCTACGGCACCTACCGTAACAGGACTCGGATGCACTCCTCTCCCTCCAATCCGAGCAGAACTGCCTCATGGAGAGCGGTGTTGTTGTGCCTGCAAAGGAGGAATGAGCAATGTACTTATTACCTAAGGAAACTGTCCTGGTACATGGAGAAGCAGTCTAGCGAATCAAACTAAGGAAGATGACACTAGGAGTCGTGGTGACTTTTTGCTGGTAGGCTTTAGTGTGGTTTATTGAATTAAGCTGAAGTGGATGGGGGAAGGAGTTGAATAGAACAGCAGCTTTCCTGACAGAAGTTATGAGAAGTCTTCAAAGCTGGCAACTGAAAGATGGACTGTGAATACTATTATCTTTGCTCAGTTGCAGCTTGGGTTTTTTTTTTTAAATTTGGCTTTGAAAGGAGCTCCTGGACTACAGATTTGTGGAGGAGGGGTGGGAGGTTAACCCTCTCTAAAACTGGAGCACAAGTGCTTTTTTGGTAAAACTTCCAAAGACCCGAGGCAGAGAATCAGTGCTCACTTACAATCCTGACTGCTGGTCAATGTCAGCACCTTTCTGCACAAGAAGGGAGATTGCTTCTGCATGCTTGTTAAGGACAGCAACTGTGAGAGCAGGTCGGTTCTCATCGCCAATGCAGTTTGGGTCAGCTCCCTAGAATGCACAGGAGAGGGAAGGTGAGCTGTTAAAAGCCATAAAGATTCTCCAGCTTCCACCTTGCTTTAATATTACATCAATTTAAGTTGGCAAATGGACTTTAGGCTCAAGACAGAGATATGTTCAAATTGTGTGGTATTGTTTCTTCATGTCTTTTCTGAAAATGTTTGTCATCTCCTAGCTCAAAGCCAGAGTAAATGTATATAACAAGAGCAGTCAAACTAGATCCCACAGTCAGGATGCACCTTACCACACAGCAAAAAGGTAGAGGTTATGCTTGCTTTTGCAATGCAGGGGATTTGACCCTAAACTATAAAATTCATATATTTTTCTTTCTGTGTGGCCTTGACAAACCCAGAGGAGAATGCCTTACACGTCGGCCAAATAGAAAATTGGGGAGAACGTATATAAATGTAAAATAGGCCGTTTCTTCTCTAAAACGCTCTTTCAACTTGAAGACAGTCAATTGTCTTGCAAGGATGTTGCCTCCTAAGCATAAAGAAGTTGCATACCAGGTGAATATTCATGCAGTAAGTGGTCAAAGATTTGGAAAGGGAAACTTCAGCAAGCAATAACTTACTTCCTGGAGCAATCGTTCTACTAAGGTGATTCTTCCTTTCCCATTTGGACCGAGTTCTTCTAGTAGTTGTCTGGACTCTGGCTGTGGAAACACAGAAAACAGCCAGTAACATTTCACATAGTGAAAATACAAGTAGGTGGGCCATATTTTGCCTTTGAGTAGAGGTGGAAAATGCACACAGTGGCATGAATGCAGTGTACCTCAGTATTACTAATCCATAACCCTTTGTTGGGAATGTCTTTCTGAATCTGAGCAAGTGTTGGATAACCCAGGCTAATATCTCACTATTGAGGTCTTGATTCAGCAAACATATCTGCAAATGATTAGCTTTACATCAACGCAGCTCTCCGGGGCTGTACAAAGATCTGCTCACCACAGTAAAATTAAACATGGGTACAAGTTCTTTGCTATAGGATTAAAGTTTGAAGCTTCCAGAACTTGTGGAAGTATTTTATTTAAAAAACGAATATGTTTTGTCTCACAAAAGTTGGTTTACTAAATCTTAAAACAACCAACAAAACCTAAAACCTTTTCCTTTTATTTCTTCCCAGCCTTCCGCCTCCTTCATCTTCCCTTTTGAAAGCCCAATCACTTGACCAAGCATTTTTATCTCTGGAGTCATATCAGAAAGCTCTATATCTTCTTCCACCTGTTGAGTTGGCTAACTGATCCAAGCTTAGATTAATGTGTATTTCCCTTTTGAAATTTTCCATGCCATTACTGACAGTCCATTTAGTAGGCAGTGCTTCCAGGATATTTGGCCTCTAGTGGAAATAAAGCCTTGCTTCTTGCATTAAACTGGCCCTCAGCTGTGCTGGCATCTCAGCTTGATGGGGAAACTGAGTTGACCTAAAAGCTTGTTGCGTAGATCATCATCTCCTGTCTAGTTTACAGTAGTTCTAGCACAGCCAAGGGTATGTCCTGTGGAGTCAAACTGAGTAGTAGGGTCAAGGGAAGACGATAATGTCTCCATCTGATGTTGCTTCTGAGAAAAACCTGTAACAAAATCAAGTCTGCAACAGTCTTTAGGCCTAATGCTGTATCAGTAAAACAGAATGGGTCTGAAAATCAGAGCAACAATCTAATTAAGCTCTTAGTAGGAACAAAGTGTAGTTATTTCCATTTCTGTAATAAATGTCAGTTACCAATGTTCAGGTTTTATATGAAGTTGGACTTTTGTCCTCTTCCCCTGCCCCCAGTCAGTGTTAAAAGCTTTCTATTTTTATCCTTGGATGCCCTCCTTCATGTTAGTGCTGCTCTATAGGTAGTTTTTCCTGTACTGGCAGAAGATACGTACAGGGAGCTTATCTTCTTTTTCTGTAAGTGTTCTTGACTTTGTTCTCTTTATTTTGCCTCTTGAATGGAAAAGATTATGATCATCTTTGCCTACCAGAAAGGGAAACAAGTGTTAATTCAAAGCAAAGTCAGTATCCTAGCAAGAACTTGGGGGAGAGATCTGGAAACAATTTATCCACAAAAATATTTTGTGTTGAAATGAAAGCAATATTTATCAGTTTTCTACAAGAGAAAGTGATGAAATATTTGTTGCAGATCAGACTGGTTTTAACAAAAGGTTTACACTCAGGCAGTCTCAAAAACTTGTTATTTTGAAATGAAGATTCAATGAAATGTGGAGTTTGGGGCGTTTGTGTCTTTTTTAACTAGCTGCAGCTATTCAACAAGCTTGACTCGGATTCATGAATTGTTTTGACCAAAACCCTTACACTTTTTCAATGCTGTTTGGCTCCCAAATGCTTAAGAACAGGACTAGAAGACCTTGAGTAGATATGTATGTCCATTATTTTTAAGAGACGTAATCTACCAATGTGCAGGAGGGTTGATAAGGAAATTACACAGCATGTGGGGACCCTTTGAGCTGATGCTACAAGAGTGCCTGGAATGACAGTCACATTTGACACTTCAGAAAACCAGCTCCTAGTGCCGTTGCTGCCTCTTGACATGTCTCAGACTGGAAAACAAAGTGGATGAAACTTATATGTGAATTGAAGTATGTCAAATGACACTACAGGAATTTCTGAATTCTAATGCTGACTTTACAACTAAAACCTAAGTCCAATATGAGATGCCTAAAATGCTGAGCTGTTACTGACACCAATGGAAGATGCAATTTAAGGACCTCTGAAAACCAGGTGTAGAATTAATGTATTTCATCATTTCTAAACTTTGCTAAATGTGCCCAGCTGACCTCTCCAGCTGTCCTCTAGGGATGAAGCATTCCCATGAGTTTTTGACAGAGTCTGTACATTGCTTAAATCACAACTCAGCTGCATTTTGAGACTTAAAGATCAACTTAAGTAGGTGCAGAATGTGCCAATATATTAGTTTGCCTGTCTAGGTGTCTAACCTTCCAAGCACTGCTTCCATATTCTTGACTACTATGTTTATGATCTATTGTAAAGATGGGGGGGAGGGGGTGGAAATCTCACCAAAAACAGTCTGACTGCCATCCTGTCCATCTCTGACTTCTGTTACAGTATTCAGGTAATGACTGCTGAACTTCACCGGTTTATTAGTAT